TTTTTTTAAATGCAAACATTATAATTTGCCCATGACTGCCAATTGAATAACCTGCTCCATACTGTTTACAAAAATAGTATCTGACAACACTTAAATAGAGATCTTTGCAATGGCTTCTCCCTGGGGTTGAAAATAAACAAAAACCGGTTCTGAAATTTAGCTTCTAATACCCTATTCTTATAGGCTCCAGCTTTCCCAAGAAAACCAAAATGAAAACTGACAAGTCATTGTTCCTCATGTATTGTACTTCTATGAAATTTTTCTCTGAAAGGCTTTTTTCTTCCATTTCTTAGGAGGGGTAAGTAATAGAGCTTCCATTCTACCAGCTTATAATTGTCTTTCCATTTCACTGATTTGGCTGAGAAAACAGATATGGGCTTATAAGTTTAGTGCTAATGTTCTTTCTGAGTATGGAGTCCTGGAGTTTATATGTTCTCTTTTGGTCTCCAAGGCCAGTGTATCTATCTTCCACAGTTAAATGAATGGCATTATTTAAATGAGTAGAAGACAGGACTTGCCTTGTTGTACTAGCTCATGTTTACCACTTGCTTACTACCCTTGCTAATTTTTATTTTTATTATTTTAAAATTGTTTACTTATTTTTTTATTATTTTATTACTAGTTTACTATTGCAATATCTTTCCATTTTTTATTTCTCTCCTTTTTTCAAAGATATTTGACTTTTGATTCTATCATATTACATTGCTCTTAAATATTTTAATTATGCAGGGCGCCTGGGTGGCTCAGTCAGTTGAACGTCCGACTCTTGGTTTCGGCTCGGGTCATGATCTCACAGTTTGTGAGTTTGAGCCCCGCTTCGGGTCCTGTGCTGATGGTGTGGAGCCTGCTTAGGATCCTCTCTCTCCCTCTTTCTGCCCCTCCCCTGCTCACTTTCTCTCTCTTTCAAAATAAATAGATAAAAACCTAAAAAAGTAATTTAATTATGCTACAAATCTGTTTCATAAGCACAGGATTTCCGCAGTGGATCAGACAGGATATGCGTAAGTCTGTTTTAGGCCAAGCCCATTTTCTTGTAGGTTTCCATACCACTGCCCATTACCATCAGCCCCTTCTCAGAGGTTTTTTATTTTCTAGAAGACACTTCCCCAAAGAGTGTCCTAAGGGACACAAACTACAGAATTAGGTCTACATAAAAAGGATTTATTGTCAAATACTTTGGGTAAATACTGTGACAAAAACATTAAGCAGCTTAAAATTAGGTAATTGTAAGTGTCCAATTGTAAGCATAAGGAATTAATTTGTCTATTTACTCACTCAATACATATTCAAGCATCTATGATGAGTCAGGTACTTTGTAAGGGGCTGAGAATACAATGCTAGGAAAAAATTTCTCCCCCCAGAGAGCTTACCATAAAGTTCAATGACAGATGATGTAATGAGTGTTAGGTATGGTGCCTTAAAATCATCTCCTAGAAGCATGTAACCTAGTCTAGGGTGGGATCAGGAAAGTCTTCCTACAGGAAATGTTCCCTAAATTCTTTGACCGTGAGAGTCTTCTTCAGGGAACTACTTGTGGGTTCAGTGGCTTATGATACTGCCTTGGGAAATGATGATCTAGCATAATCCAGTTGTGCTACATCAAATAGACCCAGGTCAAGATAGCTAGACCATGAAAGGAGTAGACCCGGCCTGAATTTCTGAGGAATTTCTGAGTGATGAAAAGACAGATATACTTTGGTGCCTAAATTCTAGACCTAACCTATCTCCAGCTTTGAGAATACTGAAAAAGATAGTCCTTCCACATGATTTAATCCTGGAAAGAACTAGACTGTATCTTGGTTTTTTATTATAGTAGGTTCATAGACTCTTTCTGTATCAGTTTGAAGAATGGTCTGTTCTTCTTGCCATCCCAACTATAGAGGAATTATCAGGTTGCATGTGAATTTTGCTGCCAAAGTATATAGAATTTCCACTGGACATATTCCTTCTAGTTTTATATAGTTATCAAGACAAATGACCGTAGTAAGTTTAAACCTAAGATTTCCTTAGGCATCTGACACCTTTATTCTTTAAAAAAAATTTTTTTTAACATTTATTCATTTTTTTGAGAGAGACAGAGCATGAGTCAGGGAGGACAGAGGGAGACACAGAATCTGAAGCAGGTTCCAGGCTCTGAGCTGTCAGTGCAGAGCCTGACGCCAGGCTTAAACCCATGAACCATGAGATCGTGACCTGAGCCAAAGTCGGACACTTAACCCACTAAGCCACCCAGAAGCCCTGACACCTTTGTTCTTATGCAAGATATGAGAAGTCCCAGTAACAGGTGCACAATGGGGTAGATAAGAATAGTTATAACAAGGCTCCTTCAACATCCCTTTAACTGTAGATCACCATGTAATACTCAAATAATGCATCACCTTACACTTACAGAAATTTAGCACTTTTCTCCCTAGGTCATATAAAAGTCTAAATCAGGCATGTTTTCTAAAACTTGAGCTGGAAATCTGCATTAAACATTAAGGGATATTTTTTAGGCTTTAGTAGAGTCCTTTTGCATAAGCTTTATGAAAAGAGGAGATGAACCATTGATAGTATCTTTCGGTTCTTGTTCATCTAAGATTTTTCCTTGTTTTCTGAAGACTCCTTAAAAAAAAAAAAAGGAAAATTGGAGATCTTTCAAAGGTTTGAACTGAACATGGACAGTAGGAGCTGGATGCAAAGAGATAATAAAAGGTGAAAAATCATAGAAACAAATCTTTATCCACGAAAACTGTTCCTGGAAACATGACATCTTGAAGGAGCTTGCTTAATTTTATGCAATCCTTGAACTTCTTTCTTCTGAACTTCCTTAAAAGTTGATCTTTGCTTGTAAAGCAATTGTTAGCTAATAGTTAGCTTTGTGTTTCTTTTTTACCTTTTCCTCAGCTTTCTTTTTCGTCTCAGCATCCATCCAAGTGAGGTCATCTAAAGTCTGGATAAAAACCTCTCGGATCTGTGTAATCAAATCCTCAACCTAAAATGAAAGGAACAGAAGACAAATTTAGGCCATGAATTAATTTTCTGTAACACAAATTTTAACAAACAGGGCTTTGAGCTGCCTTTATAGGACTCAATAATATGTTAATGCATGTAAATTTATAGAAAAACCATGACCTAAACAAATGGATACATGTGGATAATTATGTTTTCAAAGGAATCTTGCTACTATTGACACTAATGGTGAAATAGATCTTATATATGCATTAATGAAAAAATTATCTTTAGAATGTAATGGCTTCAGGACGCCTGGGTGGCTCAATCTGACTTTGGCTCAGGTCATGATCTCACCATTAGTGAGTTCGAGCCCTGTGTAGAGTTCTGTGCTGACATCTCGGATTCTGTGTCTCCCTCTCTTTCTGCCCTCCCCCACCTGTGCTCTGTCTCTCTTTCTCTCAAAAATAAACATAAAAAAAAAAAGAACATAATGGTTTCCATTATCATAAAAAAACACATAAAATAGTAGCTGTCATCACTGTTAGTAGTTCAATTAAGCATAAAGTAGCATTTTAATAGTTTCTTTCACTTAGTCTTTAAGTTCCATGGTCTTCATTTCAATAACAATGAAAAATGGAGTACTTTTTTAGATATTTCAAATAAACCCTAAAACCTTACTTTCAAAGTTTTTCAGAAAACTAATTCTTGGTCAGTCTTGCCAATAGGAGAATTTACAATTACCTGTATCAACAGAACATGTGAGTGAGTGGGTACTCTGAATACATTGTTTCGGGACGGGGGACGATTGGTTTTGGACTAGACAACTTTAAGATCAGAAACAGAAGCAGATCTTTTGGGAGAGGAAGGAGAAGAGTGGTTGAGAAATAACCACAAATTGTGATACAGAGATTCTCCGCCAATTAATAAACTTTAGCCCAATTATGAACTATTGTAATTGCCCACTGATGGAAACAATTAACTGATAAGAGTATTGTGCTGAAAACATTACCACATGTTTACTCTCTCCAGCGAATGCAGCTTCCACGTACAGCCTTCCCACAGCATTTTCCATATTCCCATTGACATAGTTCGCACAACGTCTCCACGTTGCTGTCTCTGATGTTGTGCCATAAAGGGCCTAAGGGCGAGAGAAAGGAAATGACATCTGACCACGAGAAGATGGCCAGAGCAAGGTAGAACACATATTTCACAGGGACTCTGTTCTTTATGTCCTCTAAATTCTGCTTCTCCTCACAAGGCATGTTGTCCTTGCCCAAGACAAAAACGTAATCCAACTGGAGCATTTACTTACAAATAATCTGAAAACAAGGTATATTTTCGGCAGCACATCCCAGTGGAACTTTGGGCCGTTACAGGTGAATACCCTTGTAGACAGTTTTAGAAAACAACAACAAAATGGCCCCCCTTCCACCAAAACCAAAAAAATATATATAACAGTTACAACTGCATAAACGTAAACACGAAGTGATGTTCAATTTATGTAACAAGGGAGGTATCTGGTATGTAAGAAAACACATTTCAGTTTTTTAATAATTTAGCTGAATTTCCAGTACTTAGAAGAACTGTATGTGAATAAATTTAAGTACTAACGAGGGAATTAACTGAGGTGAGGGAAATCGAGCAAAAGACCATTTTTGCAGGCTTTAATTTCAAACCTTTGTCTACATTTTCTTTCAAAGGGTAAATGCTAGAAATGTCAAATAAACAGTTGTTTCCTTTCCATAACACCAATCAATACGTTTGCCAGAGTTTTTCCTCTTCAATCCCTCCTGCCCTCTCCCCTCACCACAGCACTAATAGGATGATTGTTTAAATAATGCAGGTACAGCCTAGTAAAAAGCCTTAAGGTTGTCTCCAGGTAGCTGTACTCTCAGTGGATTGTCCACATCAAAGTAGTCCACCAGTCTGTATGTCTAGTGTGCTACGGGCACCTGAAAATGAAATTTATTCAAATAGACCCCCTTGCAGTTACGTTTAACACAACAAAAAACCAAGCCAGTATTCTCTCACCAACTGCTCAAATAACCAAATGCATCTCCTTCCAGGGCAATTCAATCATGCTGCCAGAGTAGACAATCATGGGATGGCAAAGCCCTTGAAAGCTGGCTTTCCTAGGCAACAGAGCCAAAATATGGGCAAAATAACCAACATTTGGCATTTTGACTCTTGGCAAAGTTCACCACATTCTAGCACATGGCAAGCCTTCATAACCATGTATCTCTTTATGCGTTAAGTCTTAAGAAAAGAGAGATTTTTTCTTCACCTTGCGGAAAGCATTTCTGGACTCCTTGTAGGTTCGGCTGAGGCTGCTTACAAGATCCATTATGAATCGCCAGGACATTAAATTTTGAAGATCTCTGTATAAAAAAACCCACCACCCAGCAACAGAAAAGATGAGGCTGCAAAGCTTCTAAAGAGTGATATTAAATGTAAATTTTGAGGACATAGGCACTCTGACATACCTACCTGGCAGAATATTTGGTAAGAGTGAGCTTAAGTTTGGTTAAATATTCTGGAGCATAAACGACCACCTCTTCTTCATTTGGAATATTAATATTCACAGTTGACATGATTTCATTTGTAAAATTTGACCAGCTGAAGGGCTGGAAAAAAGCAGGCATAAAACATTCAGTCATTTTGGATTTCTCTTCTTGGTTCTAAGACTCAATTATGGTTATGGAGTCAGACATGGTTAGAGTGTCATTTGCATCACTATAGAATTACCACAATGGCCAGTTTATTTGCGTGGGATTTTTCCTCCATTGTTTCAATCAGTTCCTGAATAGAAATTAGTTCTGTAGCATGATTATTTAGAGAGCAGCATTCAACCAACCATTTAAGAGCAAAAGCAAAGCCCTTAAGCATAGAGAATATACAGCTAGAAATTAAGCTCGATGTCATCTTCTTGGTCTAACTCACATTAAAAAAAAAATGAAAAAGCTTTATAAAATAAAGCTTCCTACATTTATGCAAAAATTTAAATGGGTATAAAGTGTTTATCTTTTAAAGGTGGATATTAAACAATCCATTCAAACACAGTGATACATCTCAGTGGAGATCCTGCTATAAATGAAAGCATACTATTGTAGGAGAGGTACAGTAATGTCACAGATACAACACAAATGGTCCAATGAAGCCAAACAACACATTTGAAACTATCAATATTGGGTCTATAGGCATATGCAATTTTTACACTTTGGAGCTGCTCAGAGATGAAATCTTATCTGTTATTCTCTAAATGGTTATTCAACCACCAGTAGATATAAGAAAAAAACACAGATGTGGAAGTACATAAAAATAAAGATCACTAAGTATGTAGTACTATATACTTGTCTTAATTTCCTTTGGTAGTTCGGACCATTGTTTCCAAACATATTTATTAAAACCCTTAACACTTATTATTTTAAGCAGCTTCATGTGAGAAATTCCTAACAATAGGTCATGCCTTTACAAAATATCCCCCCTCCCTTTTTTTCCTGTAATTAGTGCCAAAGAGAATTCTATCAGTGAATGTGATGGTTTGTAGATTTTCCCATGGATCTTGCTACTTTTCGCAATCATGTGTATGAACTTATACACAAGGATACACGCATAGTCCCCAAAAGAGATTATTATGTACTGGCTAATGAATTACAACTGTTTATAAATGGAATCTATGAGACAGATTTTTCTTCTTATTTCTTGTGTTCTATTTCTCCACTATTGCTCGGAACATCTCGATAGATGGCCTTGACGAGAATATGGCAAGTTCCATAAATAAATTATCCTTTTTAAGAGTTAAAAAGAAATCTAGTGGCTTTATTATTTGACTGGCCAAGTCCAATGGCTATACAGTTGTATTTCAGAAGGATTTTCCAGTTTAATGTTTTCCAAACTTTTTGTTACAATAGTCTAATATCATTGCATAGCTGCCTTGAGAGGAGTTTTAATTTGAAATTCACTCTAATTAAATATAATACAATGATTTCACATGTTTTTTTTTTTCCCAGTCTTGTCATCAAGTCAAATGGTTGGTGTCCTCTAAATTCATTTTGACATTCAATTTATTTCAAAAAGTAAATAATCACTGAATTTTAACCAACTATATTTCAATGTTATAATTTTAGAAATGGCACAATAACAGAGCACATAAAACTTGGTACTTACCTTCCCATTGATCTCTAGTGAAAAGTTATTTTGGAGCTGGGCTAATGTCATTTTGTTATAAAGAAGCATTGGATCATTTCGATCTTCAGATTTAGTTGTAGCCTATGGATTTAATTTTTGATCATTGTTTTAGAACTAAGAATGATTTAGAAAAATATAACTCTATATGAAGGAAAAAGAAGTATGGAATAGGTACAACATAACTCAAGCTCTATTTTGTATACTTGTTTAATGGTTAAAATAAATTGATATCAAAAAGAGAAGTGAAATTTAGGAGATTTTAAGTATATTTAGTAATAATCATCACTATTTGGCTGCCATGTCGAATATAAAATTCTTCAAAAATCTTTTTATACTTTGACAACTGCTGAACCACACAGACAGTGTCCACAGGCCTCTTTCTTTTTAAGGGTCATGGCCAGCTCAGTTGTTGCTGTGGTTGTTTTATATGATAACTTTCTCAAATACAGTCTTCTCCAATGCAGCTCTCAAATACTCTCTCCCACCTCCTCATTGCCACTATCCAGCGTCCCAGGTAAAATCCAGACAGGAAAAACAAAAACAAAAACAAACCAAAAACCATAATGACTTCTGCAAGAATTTAAAGCCAGTAAGAGAGAAAATTCCTAGTGCACACCACAGTCATATGAGGAGAGTGCCAGCACCTTCTATTTTTGTGACTCCTATCCCACCTAATTAGTTTAACACACTATACTCAACAGCATCCAGTTTTATTTACTTGTTTATTTATTTTTCACTCAACCAAAAAAGAAAATCGTAGTAGCAACTCCTCAACTAGTGGCTGAAATTAGCAAAGTCAATTTTAAGTGAGGAGAGACAAAAGGTAGAAGTTTAATATGGGAATTATTTCTCGGTGACAATGGCTCCAATTTCCCCTTTAGGTACTTATTTATTCACTACTTAAAAAATTATTTATTGAACATCTCCTGAATGCAATAATTAGCCGGATTCTGTTAGAGATACACAGGTGATTCAAACAAGACTAAGACCTCACCCCAACCTGAATTTAAGAGAGAAGGAAAAACAAAGACACGAATAATTCTGAGGTAAGATACAACTATCACAGAGCTAAGGCTGATCAAAGGATGACATGGTCTGGGAACGGCCAAGTGGTAAAAACCCAGGGCAATAAACTATTCTCCTCTCACCACTCTGTGTCCAGCACAGAATCACATGTAACCCATCCAAACGCCATTCATCCAGCTGCAGCTCCAAGCAAAGTCTGGCTCTGATTGGAGATTTTTGGTCGCATGTAGCTCCAGGAAAGCTAAAATTGCCCTCAAAGATCTTTAGTCTTCAAGATGCTGAGGGCAGTGGCAAGCACATAGGGATATAGGAACATGGGTTGTTGTTTGCAATGTCAGAGAGAGGTCTGTAGATTCTAGACTGAACCTGACCATGCGTTTAATCAATAACCTTGATACTGCTTAGACAGAATTCACTCCTTGAGACTTCGGACTCTTGTCAGAGCAAAGTCAGACAAGAAAGTGCCAATTCACGCCTGGGTGGCTCAGTCCGTTAAGCGTCTGACTTCAGCTCAGGTCACCATCTCACGGTCCGTGAGTTCGAGCCCCGCGTCGGGCTCTGTGCTGACAGCTCAGAGCCTGGAGCCTGCTTCAGATTCTGTGTCTCCCCCTCTCTCTGACCCTCCCCCGTTCATGCTCTGTCTCTCTCTGTCTCAAAAATAAATAAACATTAAAAAAAAATTTAAAAAAAAGAAAGTGCCAATTCAGACTCCAAGGGTTCATCTGAAACTAGAGGAAACTCAGGAAAACACCCTGTGGGCTTTGCTGCTAAACCTTGCCTGTCAGACCCTTTGAGCCAGCCTGGTGGTCTGAACTCAGTAACATCACACTGTCATGTGGTCATATTCAGGGACTAGTATTTCTAAGCAAAAGGACAGTCAATCTCTGTGATCACCTTAAACTTTAAAATAAAGCAAAGGAAAACTATACATAGCAATTGCATGTGCCCTGAATCTCAAGGACATTTCAACAAATGACTGCAAATAGGCTTTTGGTATAATCCACTTATAATAAGTAATTAAGTGTATCTAGTTTAATATTTGCCAAACTTAGTATGCCTCCTGGCTATCAGGAACCCAGTTTACTACAAAATTCTACAGTTTCAAAGGTCCTCATAAAGTCAATGATTCATTACTGAGCTATGCATTCTTACCAGTTGGTTACAAAGTTGCACATTTTACCTTTAAAATATGATAGAGAGGAGAAAAGAAAAAAAGAGTGGTGAAAATCTAGTGTATTAAAAAAAATGTGTTTTACATTGGCAATTTCTTTTTCCAATTCCATAACTCTCTTCATTTCCAAAGAAAGTTGGTTTTCATCGATGGGCAGTCCTTTCTCCTTACGAATCAATCTGGCCACAGAAATCATAAAATCCACGTATGCTATACAAGCCTGCAAGAAATAAATAACAATGAACTGTCGGAGAACATTCTAAATATTTAGCATGACGATTTAACTTAAAATTTATTAATTTTTGGTAACACATAAAGCACAGCAAAACAAATATCATTTTCTAAATCCTAAAAGAAATGACCTGCCCAGGGGCGCCTGAGTGGCTCTGTCCATGAAGTGTCTGACTTCGGCTCAGGTCATGATCTCAAGGTTCATGAGTTTAAATTTTTTTTTTTTTTTCAACGTTTATTTATTTTTGGGACAGAGAGAGACAGAGCATGAACGGGGGAGGGGCAGAGAGAGAGGGAGACACAGAATCGGAAACAGGCTCCAGGCTCTGAGCCATCAGCCCAGAGCCCGACACGGGGCTCGAACTCACGGACCGCGAGATCGTGACCTGGCTGAAGTCGGACGCTTAACCGACTGTGCCACCCAGGCGCCCCTCAAGGTTCATGAGTTTAAGCCCCACATCAGGCTCTGTGCTGACAGCTTGGAGCCTGGAGCCTGCTTCAGATTCTGTGTTTCCCTCTCTCTTTGCCCCTTCCCCACTTGCACTCTGTCTCTCAAAAATAAATAAACATTAAAAAAAATTAAAAAAAAAAAGAAAAAGAAAAAGAAATGACCTGCACAAATTCTTAGAAAGTCATCATGTGTTTGAATTAGAGCAGAACAAAAAAAGTATCATTTGAAGGTACTAAGTAATTTATCACTATTTGATTTGGGAATTCTATAATTTTCTATTCATTATCAAGTTATTTTAAATTGTCTTACTAAGAATGCAGTTGCAAAAACACTTGATAAGCAATAACCTAGCATTTTTTCTTGAATAATAATAAATTATTTCACTGAATTCCATTCTCAGATTTGCTATGCTTATGTATGTCCTTTTCAAATGTTCTTGAAGAGATGGCCACAAACTCATATAACATTATCAGGACATCTTTGGATTTTTTCTTTGGCCAAGCATTTGTTTTTTGTTTATTTTTGTTGTTTTTGCTGCTGTTGTTGTCTAAGCAGAAAATGAGACTGTGTGCTCATAATTTGGCTCACAATGTAAAATTTCTATATCTGGATATTTGAGCTTTTCTAAGGACTTCAATTCTTTCCATTTTATCTTCACATGCATTTTAACTTTGAGAAGGTAAGCCATAAACTAGTTATATTATCAACCTTTTACAGAATATATAATGCCTTACTCAAATTCAGAGTGGCATCAACACCAGGAAATGGAATACCACTTATGTAGATTTCAACCCATTGCTATTCAGACATTATTATCCATTAGCAATTAAAATAAATTATGATCCCACCCCGTAAAATTTACTCAAAATTCAAGTTCCTAGCACCAGCTTAATGACAAACAGACAACCATGATTAGGGAAGTCATGCCACACAAGTTTGTGGTTAATGGGCACTTCTGTGCTTCTAATACTCATTCACAGAGTAAATACGAAGGGAGGTTATACAGCGCTTAACACTTTGTAGTTTCAAGAGGGTTTAATATCCCTACTTATTGATTATCAGTCAAAGGAGCACACTTATATTCACTGTGAGTACAAAAGGCGCATCTGAATTTGTAGTGACTCATTAAAAGGATCAAACATAAAACCTACAGGCAAATAAAAAAATATTTTATCAAGCAAGATGTACAGGTATTATCAATTTGAAAATCAAAAGGACCACTTAAAGTAAGGTTTAGATACTGGCATTCTATGACCTTCACTAAATGCTAAGTAAACAGTTCCCCAGGGAGAGGGTTTCTGTTTTCATGGATACCCCGTGATGCTGGGGTATCCAGCTAGCATCTCTATTCTTGGAACTGCTACTCAATAGAACAAACTATTTTTTCAGCTGTGGGCCTGTATTAAAAACCTAATCCACTAAGGCAACAGGGATAAAAGGATGTTTTTATGTATATTCTCACCAAATCATTCTTTTCCTATTAAAAGGTAATCAGAATTCTTGTTTCCCTTTGAAGTAAACAAATATGTCTGATTTCACATCTCACGGGACCAACTATTCCAAAGTATAAGCATGCAGCATTTTGAATTAACCATATTTCTAATCATATAAATTCATCTGCATTCAGCAGGGAATTACTACTGACTATGAAGGAAATGGTAATTTGAATTTTCCAGTATCAGTCTGCTGAGATTCCTTTTGATTTTGTGGGATGCTTTTTTTGGTAATGAGGTAAGAAAGCAATAACAAGAACGCTCTCCTGCCCTTCACTGATGCTGCAAACTGGTTCTACTCCAGTATCTTTATCTTTACAGGTTCATTTAAAGACTCTAGAACTTGGCATAAGGCAAGCACAAGAACTCTTGATGGTGCTTCCAGTCTGCTGAGCTGGTAAGGTTTCCCAGAAAACTGGAAGCATATGATATCACCAATCTCTGGGATTCTTGAATATTTAATACAGCTACATGGAATACACTACCTCCTTTAATGAGCTCCATTACCTGGCAACTACTCCAATATGACTGATTAAAAAGTGTGTCTTAGTATCTTGATTATCTTTCCTGGCTTCCAAATTTATCTAGTAGCTGTCAGAACCCAAGCTTACTCCTGCTGTTAAATCCTTTTTACAAGATGTGATTCTACTCTAAGGTTTTAATACTCTTCCCTGAGATACTTATAGATATGTAATATGCCAAATGATAGTAATTGTCATGATTTGGGGAGAAAGTAATCAACGTATATTTTAACATTTAAATAGTACATTGGCCAGGATATTTTTAAAATTGAAATTCAATTTTTCTTTTTTGGTACTGAAAGAGCAATTAGTTACTAGGACAAGGGTCACAGCCAGTGGTCATAAGGTGGCCTTGTTTAAGCCTTCACACAGTGAATCCTTTATGTGAAAAAGAATCGGGGCGCCTGGGTGGCTCATTCTGTTGAGCATCTGTCCTCGGCTCAGGTCTGATCTCACTGTTTGTGAGTTTGAGCCCCACATCAGGCTCTGTGCTGATAGCTCAGAGCGTGGAGCCTGCTTTGGATTCTGTGTCTCCCTCTCTGTCTCTGATCCTCTCCCACTCACACTCTGTGTGTGTCTCTCTCTCAAAAATAAATAAACATCAAAAAACTTTTTTTTTAAAAAAAGAATCCACCTAAATATCTACAGAGCTCTCCTTTTAATTTTTTTTTTAACGTTTTATTTATTTTTGAGACAGGGAGAGACAGAGCATGAATGGGGGAGGGTCAGAGAGAGGGAGACACAGAATCTGAAACAGGCTCCAGGCTCTGAGCTGTCAGCACAGAGCCCGACGCCGGGCTCGAACTCATGGACCGCGAGATCATGATCTGAGCCGAAGTCGGCCGCTTAACCGAATGAGCCACCCAGGCACCCCCAGAGCCCTCCTTTTAAAAATAAACCTTTGTACATCCCAATTCCTATAATAGCAGGTTCAGAGATGATCATTGGTTTCACATGGTTTTATGGTAAAATTCGTAATAATAGCTTTGTGAATTTTTAAATTACATATTATCAATGGGACGATATTTACTAACATCCAAGACCATGAATTGTCACTCTAATTAGAACTATCTTCATTTTGCAGGACCAAAAAATGGTACTTATAAATTGGCTCTGTTCAGAAATTGGGCTTCTCCTGCTTAGAACAAAGCTGGTATTTGTTGGTTGCCAAAGAGAAAAAGAGCAATGACATATTACTATTGTCCTTCAAAATTTAGCATCTTTGTTTATGAACAACAGCAAGACCCAGGGAGGAACAGAGAGCTTTCTAGTTAGATTGGCTGATATTTGGGTACCTGAGGGCAACAACCACCTAAGGATCAGGGTTTCACTTCCAAAGATTCTGTCCTGGGACACCCAGCTCTTACCAATTTTCTGCGTTCCCTTTTCTAGAGGAGTCATGTGGAGATGACTGAGAAGTCATCGAACTGTGCTATTCTTATCCACTGATGCCCAGGGATTTTTTTTTTTTGAAGTTTTCCTCACTTTTTTTTTTTAATTTTATTTTTTATTTTTTAAAATTTACATCCAAATTAGTTAGCATATAGTGAAACACTGATTTCAGTAGATTCCTTAATGCCCCTTACCCATTTAGCCCATCCCCCCTCCCACAACCCCTCCTGTAACCCTCAGTTTGTTCTCCATATTTATGAGTCTCTTCTGTTTTGTCCCCCTCCCTGTTTTTATGTTATTTTTGTTTCCCTTCCCTTAGGTTCATCTGTTTTGTCTCTTAAAGTCCTCATATGAGTGAAGTCATATGACTGACTGACTGATTTCACTTAGCATAATACCCTGCAGTTCCATCCACGTAGTTGCAAATGGCAAGATTTCATTCTTTTTGATTACCGAGTAATACTCTATTGTATATATATATATATATATATACCACATCTTCTTTATCCATTCATCCATCAATGGACATTTGGATGCCCAGATATTTTTAATAATGCTTCACAGAAAGTTTCCTGAAGGAACACACAGGGGACACCAAGTGGGAAAGACAGGTTTCCCATCAAAAAGGCTTGTTATTTTTTTGACCGCTTAAACATCATTGTCAGGGAGCACGCACCTGTCGCACTAGAGACCTGCTCCCCTGCAGGGACTGCAGACAGAATTGAGAAAGAGCACCCAATCTGAGCAGGAGAAACACCAGACTCGAGAGGATCCACTGTAGACCAGCATGGGGACTCTTTGGGGGCTTTCGTCAGATTATGAATGAAGAGAACCTAGAGACTGATGTGAGCACTTATTGTGTAACTTCTAAGGTTTATTGCAGATGTTTGAGAAGCTGTATGTAGTTCCTTTTATAAACCACGTTCAATCCATCTCAAAAAATTCTCTTGTCAGTGCCACACATGCCAAGACAAGTCTTGTCATATTCACATATTCTTGTCATATTCACTAAGTCTCAAGTTTAAAAGCTCTTTTACATTTTGTTAAATACAGATGCCTGGACTGGGTACAATCTCCTGACTGTTAGTCACCTGGTGCCCAGAAAGGACAAAATGAGGTCAGCAGTTTCCCT